GTTGGGGCGCGGGGTGGGGGGCTCAGCTCAGTCTTCCCGGATGGAGGAGTGTGTGTGAGACACTCTGAGTGTGCAGGGCAGGGCGATGGGATGGGAGTGTGCACGTATCCTTAACTCTGGGCGCCTGCATGTGGATGGGGCTGGGTGGGTGCAAGGACAGAATGGATACGGCCCCGACCGTGACCTCAACAGGACGTGCAGGTGCCGGTCCAGACCATTGTGCGAGACTGAAGGCCAAGCACGTAGGGTCGGTGCCCAACCAACCTGCTCTTGGGTGTGCGTGGGGTTGTATGTGTCATCCACGGGTCTGACCCTGCACGGGCAATGGGGAGGCGTCTTAGACAAGGCTACACACTGTGGGCCCTGGGGAGAGAGGGTGTCATGGGCTGAAGCCGGTTTTGAGGGTCCAGCAGCCTCAATGCAGTGCTCCCCTGTTGTGGATTTTCCTGTCCTGAGCCTCTTTGTGGGGACTATACACCACCCCTAAACCGGCCTGGTGGGGGAGGCCTCCAGAAATGTCCCAGGCTGGGTGAGTGTTCCGGGCGTGGGCTTTGCACCCGTGCCCGGAGTGCATGTGTCTGTACCCAAGGCTGCGTGTGCCACAGTGGGTGCGACTGCCAAAGGGCCCTGGGAGTGAGGAGCTGGTGACATTCCTTGCCCATGACCCTGTGAGCGCAGGACAACGTGTGCTTGTAACAGTGGGGGCAGAGGGAGGGGGTCAGCGGAGGGACAGCATTGTCTGAGCGAGGAACATGATGATCCTCAGGGGGAGGAGACTGACAGTGTGGAGGGAAGGCAGGGGCTTGCTTTCCCTCGACTCGAGCTCCAGGAGAATGTGTAGGCGCCTGGGCTGGGACCTGGGGGCCTGGCTCCTGGCCCTCCCTCTGCCACTGATTGCCATGCGACCTTGAGCGACTCTCTTCCCTGTCTGAGTCTCAGTTTCCACATCTAGGAAGAAAGGTGCATGAGACCAAAGGAGCCTTTCAGGTCAGGTCTGTCCTGTATTCCACGAGCTCAGCGAAGGAGGTGGGGGTGGGGCCTGCCTTCGAAGAAACTCGCTTTCCTCTCCAGGCCTGGCAGTGGGGGGCAGGTGGATTTTCTTCTCTCTCCAAGGCTGGTGTGTGTGTGGTTGGTACTCTGGACTGCCTGGGGCTCAGGTGGAGATGGAGGCGGAGCCAGGGGTCTTTATAGTGACGGAGAGCCCTGACTCCTAGGGTTGACCACTGCCTGGGGCCTAGGGAACTGACCTGAAGATGACCCAACTTCAAAAAGTAACTTCCTGAAGGCCAGGGTAAGGGACTGCGGAGGAAGGCAGGAGGAGGCCAGGTCCTGAGGGCCTCGCCTGCCTCAGTGAGGCCTCTGGGTGCAGCCTAGGCCTTGCCCCTGGGATTGCCCGGGGCTGCAGCCTGAGGGCTGTGAGGAGGCAGAGTTCCGACTGCTACTGAAAGCCCCAGCATTAAAGGCCAAAGCGGCCAGAAACTTACGTGTTTATAAAAAGCTCTTATCCCGGGAGCATCTTCCCTGGCACCAGCTGCTGCTGCCTGCCTGCTGCTCACCGGCCAGCCCAGCCCAGCCCAGCCCTCAGGGCAGGCGTGGAGGGGGTGAGCCCAGTCTAGCTAAAGTGGGTCCATTGGGAGCATCTCTCCTCGATGGGGCAAAACCGAGGCAGCCCTCACATCCCTGGGGAAAGGTCCCCTTCCTGAGTCTGTCTTTACAAGTGGGCCATTGTCGCAGGCCCGCCCCAGGCGCCAGGTATTTCCAGGGTTGGAGCTGCAGAGCTCTTTCCTTGCTCCCTACGACCTTGGGCTTCTGCTTGTGGCCCTCAGCTCACTCCTTCAGCTTCTGCCAGCACAGAGCTGTGTTCAAACGCTGGCTCTGTCATTTACAAGCTGCAAGCGTGGGCACGGCTCTGAACTCCTCTTGAGCCCCTGTATCTTCACCTGTAATGCGAGGATGCCTACCTTGGGGGTTGTCAGTATACATGAGCTAAAGCGTAGCAGGTGCTCCCGTGGGGCTTACCTCACCCTCTTTAGGGCGCCCACTCCCCAGCCCCTGACTGCCCTTCCTGGATGTACTGATACTTGAGGAAGGGATTCCCTAGGGATCCCCAGGGTAAGGAGTGTCCAGGGAGCATCCCCCATTCTAGGGGGGGG